TGGGGATGATTAAGATGTCATCAGCCTTGGTTACACCCAGAAGGAAGAGATGGATCAGTGACGGAAGATGTTTGTGGGTAGTGGGGAAGGAAGAGGAACATTGAAGGGCTCCACTAAATATATCCAGAAGGGGAGTCAGTGTGCCTGTGGTGCATGTGTGCATGTGTGTATGCATAAGTATGTATGTGTGTGTGAGTGTGTGCAGCAAAGGTGGGGAAAGGTTATGTTTTGTTCAGAATTGCATGATCATGCTCTTTCATGTCCATGCACTTGCAAAACAGGTTATAGTTAACTAGCTAATAGGATAGTTTAGACCAAGTGCGTTATAGACTGGCTACTTTCTCATGACATGGAGGGTGGGACATTTATACCATAATCTCATCTGCCATGCTAAACCACAGTGTAGGATGGGCTGCCAATGGGTGGATTCCACTTGGGCAACTCATTCAAAGCCCAAACTGAGGATATTGTCATCGATGGAAACACCACTGAAATGAATTTCTTATTCTTTTCTTATCCTACTCTTCATGTGTAGGGTCTTGGGTCTGGACATTGGCTGTTTGTAAAGAGGCCTCCGTTAGTGGGTGAGGGATGTTAGGAATGTCCAGATAGGACTTATCATGCTGTCTAGGTCATCACCCTTCCTTTTGCACAGTAGAGCTTGGTGGTTAAAAGAGTGCATGGTGCGGATGCCACTTATTAGCTCATGGCCTTGACCTCTCTGTACATCAGTTTTCTCATCGATAGACCAGGGACAACAATAGAACCTACTTCATCGGGTTATCATGAAGGCTAAATGGTCTTTATATGTCAAGTGCTTACAACAGTGCCCAGCACAAAGAAGGTGTTACTGTAGTTGTGATTATGACAGGTCTGTATTCAGCTCAAAGGGGAACCCACTGTTTCTAATACAGTCATAAGAAACAGGTTCCTTAATTCCCTCCATTGTTACCTCCCAATGTTATTGAATCCCTATTGCATCCAGAGTCCTGTGGTAGGAATACAAAGATATGAAAGGTACATTTTTTGAACTTCTTGAGGACATCCCTAAGTGGGAAGGGAAGTAGGACTTTAGCTGGGACTGAGCTACATGGAGAGAACATTCCAAGCAGAGGTGACTGCATAAGCAAAGGCAGAGTGAGAATCAGTTTGGGGATAGGCTTGGTGAAAGAGGATGGCTCTTACCTGATGGTCTGATTGGGAAACATTCCAGAAATTATCTCCTTGTTACTCTAACTCCCTTTCTTGGGAGCTCCTAGGTGCTGGTGGAAAGGGTCAGGCCCTGTTTAGCCTGTTGTTCCTAATATATAACACAGTGTTAAGTGGTCTGGGAATGACGGTCAAGGATTATACAGGTTTCCTACACTTTAGAAATTTTGTTTTCATGAAGGGCCTATACATTACCTGTTTTCCATAATGGAAAGAAATCAGAAGAGGACTTTTGCTTTGAAAACAAAAGACAAAAACCAAAAACAGAGCTCAATGTTGGTTTTGTAGCAGTGTGAACCCTGAGTATTGAGAGTGCCCCTTCCAAGCTCCTCCCCGGGGAAGGACTGCCTGTGGATTAGCTATTTATCACATCAGTTTATTATATATTAGTGTTTCTTTAGAGTTTATGTGTAATATGGTAGGATTTAGTAGGTGTTTTTTTGGGTCTGGGAATGTTAACAATTTTTATCATATAAATTAGTGGTAATGGTTTCTTTGCTTTATGAAATTTGACTTAGGAAAGACTTCATAGGAATGCTGTGCTTTTGGATAGTGGGGGAAACCAATATGTGAGATATTGTACATAGGATATAGTATATATTATGTATTATTATAGTATATAGTATATAGTATATAGTATATAGTATATGTTAAATGTGTATTTCCCCTTCCCCCCAGAGGATGGCCAATGTGCTTGCAGCCATTATGCATAATGGTGTGGCAATGAGGAAGGGGTAGGGGTGACAAATCAGACAATTTGCCTTAGAAGAGTGGGCTGCCACTGCATGGAAGTAACTTTGTCAGATTGTTTGAAAATGATAATGCAGCTACAATATGAGCCCAGGGTTGGAAGGGAGCAAGATTAGCGGTGGAGAGGCCAGTTAGATCTTATCCAGGTACCAGTCAGGATTAAGCTGAGGTGCTGTCATCAGGAAAGGGATGTTTGAGTGTAGTGGGAGAGAGGGCTGTTTCTGAGCCAAGGCTGTAAGTCTAGAGGAAATGAAGAGGGACATTGGCAAATGGTCCTCTCTGTGTGTGGGCGAGGGGTGTGTGGGTGGACAGAGGGAAGGAGACTAGAGGGTCAGCTTCTGTTACCTTGGCCCCCATGCAGAGGCCTTGAAAGGTGCTATTTATTGGGCCTTCCCTGGTGGTGTAGCGGTTGAGCACTGGGCTGCAAAGCTGCTCGCAGCCTCTGTAGCACCAGTTCAATCCCTGGCTGCTGGCGAAGGTCCCACATGGCGCGCAGACCTCTCCTGCCACTCCCGCTGCTCCCCTCAGCAGTGTACTTTGTCAGTCTGCCTGTTCTGTTCCCTGCTCTGGCTCTGGTGAATTCTCTCACCCTCCTGCACTTCTGACTGTACCCAGTGCTTGTATGAATAAATAAATAAGTAAATCTTTTTTTTTTTTTTTAAAGAAAGGTGCTATTTATTTAGTAGGACCCAGGAGAAAGGGATGGGTGATCAGCAGGAGACCACTGAGTCCACATCTCAAACTTGGAGCTGCAAATTTTGACTTTGTCTGGAGTCAAATTCATACTGGAAGGCAGGGTGAGACCTCAGGATAAGAGTGACCCCAAGGGCCTCCCTGGTGGTGCAAGGGGTTAAGATGCAACACTATGAAGCTATTGGCAGCCACTGCAGCACAAATTCGATCCCCAGCCAGGGAAGTGACCCACATGGCGCAGCAGACCTCTCCTGTCTCTCCCGCTACTCCCCTCAGCAGTGTATTTCAGTCAGTCTGCCTGTTCTGCTCCCCACTCTGTCTCTGGTGAATCCTCTCACCCACCGCATCTCTGGCCTGCACCCGAGGTCTTACATGCATAAATAAATAAATCTTTTAAAAAAAAAGCGACCCTGACTGAAATGGAATCCATCCATCCGGATGCTTGGGAGGGTCCAGGGTGAGCACCTCCCAAGTCTGAAAGTGCCCAGCTCTCTCTGGGGCTCCCCAGAGGGGCTGCCTGCAGGAGGACCATCCTGACCTGGAGACTGCACTCAGCCTGGGAGGAGGGACTGCTCAGCCTCTCCTCAGGAGGCCCAGCCTGTCTGACTTAGCCAAAGCGGTGACCTCTCAAGGCTGTGCCAGAGGCTGCCCTCTTTTTCAGGGCGCTTCACACCTTCCCTGCCAGTGGTTAGTAATGAGAGAGTAATGATGCCATGAGGGAAACCTCGAGGAGAAACCCTGTCGCGCATATTCCAGCTCCCTCCGGTGCCTCTCAGAGGCTCTGGAAACCTCCTTGGGCCTTGATGACTCAACTCACAGTCCTCCCTGCCTGGCGAACCCACTTCCTGCTCCTTCCTTCTCGCCTGTCTCCACCTTGCTCTCAAGTGTGTCTCCTAGTCCCTTTGCTTGGGGGTTTCCCACAATCACCCAGCTTTCCCCCACTCCCACTGGCTCTCTGCAAACTCACCTTCCTTTGTCTGTATCCCAGGCCCTTCCAAGCTCCAGCCTTGACAGTGATCCAGAAAGCCCTGATAGTTGGCGGAGAGAATGGCAAGGGTCCAGAAAGCACAGTCTTCTAGCCCTGTCGTCACCCACAAGGTGCACAGTGCCCACCGTTGGAGAATATTCCTCTAGCTGAGACTGCTGCCTTGAAGACTAGCCTGTGCAGGGCTGGGGATTTCTGGAGAGCCCTTTAAAGCTTTCAAACTGTCTTCAGTTACCTGAACTCAGGGTGTCACATGGGCTATGTGTACTTTGGAGTAAATTAGCTTCCTAGCCAAGATAGCCAACCACTAAGGGAAGGAATGGGTATTGGAAGGCCCTAAAGGGCCTAATCTAGGAAGAATGTGGGCCTAGGATGTGGGTGGCAAGCTTGGGCAGGCAGCTCGGGTGGGCTTGGGGGAAGAAGAAGGTGAAAGGGCAGGCATGAGAGACCCTGAAAATAAGCTCTGCCTACGATTTTGTTTGGAGTTGGCTCTCCCTGACTCAACATTTGTTATTTCTTCTCAAAATCTCTGACCCTGCTCCTTCATCTGCTTTGGCCTAAGGTGCCTGCTGTGTTACTGGGTACTGGAGCTTGGACCCAACTAGAAGGGCCAAGTTTGTTGCTCACATAGCCAATATGTGACCTAAAAGGGCAAAAAGTGTGTGATGGTCCCTGATGAGTAAGGAAATCCAGCCTCTTGCAGCAATGGGATGGAGGGTTGTGCTTCTCCTCCTTGGTCTAGGCTGCCCGGAGGCAGAGACTGGTAAGCAGACCTATGGGTGGGGACACAGCTATTGAGGGAGGGTGGGCCTGGAGGGAGCATCACCTTTATTTCTTGTCCAGGGACACCTCAGGGGGCCCTGGGCTTTTAGGCCTGCAGTGGAGGTAGAATCCTGTTCTCAGTTCTATCCTGGGGCAGTTGGTGGACAAGCGTGCAGCAAGGGAAAGCTGGAGACCAAGAAGTGAAGCCCTTCCCCGATGTCCTGAGTGAGACCCTCCTGTTGCACCCCCAATGGAGGGTCTTTCCCTTCAGGAATGCTGGGAATGTCTGAATAGCACCGCACTCCTGTCACAGGTTGCTAAGGGCTGTCCTGGCAGGTGCCCTAGGCTTTGGTGGGCAGCAGGTACTTGGGGCACTGGAGGATAGTTCTTTTATCAGGGGGTGCCCTGCCTTGAGCAGCCCCAGGTGGGTCTCTTCTCCTCCTTGGGGAGTGTGGGGGCTGACCAGGGCCCTGCTGGTGCAGCTGCCTGGGGAGATGTCCTAAAGTCTAAACCTTTAGCATTAATTCGAGGTGTCTCTGGGTTGTGCCCCACCCATCCTGGCTCTCCCATGGCTCTTCCTGTCTAGGAATTAGAAGGGATGATGACGGTCACCAGCAAAGGAGCTCCTGCTGGTGCCTCCAGCCCTGAGTGTGTGCGCATATGCACGTGTGCATGTGTGTATGGTAGGGCAACACCCTCACCCCCCACCCCTGCCAACCCCCACCAATACTCTCTGTCTACCTCTGTGACCAGCGTGACACTGGCTGGCTAAGTCCATGAGGTGGAGAGGCAGCTATGAGGACACATGGCCATTTTCTTGGGGCAGCCCCAGTCTCCTCCCTTAGCACTCCCATTTTTCTGTGTCACAAGTTCACATCCCCTAAAGCTGCTTTACTTCCCGTCTTTCCTCTCCAGACATCCCCTGCTCCCTGGCTCCCCACGCTGCCGGCTGAGTCCTCGGGCAGCAGCCAGAGGGGGTCAGGCCCCTGAGCCTGGACAGCAATACCTCAAGGTGCCTCGTCCCCGAGCCCCAGGTCTGCAGGGCAGCTCCCGTGGAGACTCCGGCCAGCCCTCCAGGGGCAGGGGCTCCCACAGCAGCTCTGTGAGTACTGGGGCTCGGGGGCGTGACTGGCCTCTTGGGGGCCTTGTGACCGGGGGCTGTCCACTTGGCAGGCAGGTATGTGTGACCCTATGATCTTCTTAAGGCCTTTCCCTCTCCATGGTGGCTCAGTACCCCAGCAGCAGTGGGGTCTTCTGTGCAGAGGAGGAGGGGGAGATGTGGGGGCCAGGTGACCCCACCTGTCTGCAAAGTCTTGGCGCCCCTCCCACAGGCGTGAGGAGCCAGGCCTCTGTTGTGTGGCTCGGAGGCTCTCCCCTGTGCCCTGCACTTCATCTGGTTGCCCAGGTGACCTCTCAGGTGGCTGCCGAGGCAGCTGGGTATCAAACGGTAATAAACAGGGAAACACCCAGAGGGAGGGAGGCAGTCCGCGCCTGCCCCGCCTCATCTAGCTCCTCCTCTCCTCTCAACCTCCCATCTCCGGGAGAGGCTGGGAGCAGCCTCAGTCCCCCTGTGTCTCTGGCAGGTCCTCACCAGTGACTGGAGACGAGGAGGATGAGGATCGGTGAGGGGCACAGTGTATAGTGAGTCCTGTGGGGTGGGAGGTAGGGCCGGCCGGGTGACTAGCACTTGGCCTTTGCTCCAATGGATCCAGAGCGCCTGCCGGTGAGTGTCCTCTGCGTGTAGACATGTGGCTGTGGGTTTGCAGGCAGCCTGCAGGTCTGCAGGTGGTGGGTGGAGGCATGTGAAGGGCTGTGCGTGTGGACCGGGTGCAATAGGGTGATGTGTGTGTGCACACACGTGTGTGCAGGAGGCAGGCACAGAGAGGCTGAGGGGAAGTGACCACATGTGCAGAGTGGGCGTGCGTGGAGGCAGGTGATGTGCATGTGCAGGGATGCTGCTGTGAGTGCAGAGTGTGTGTGTGTGTGTGTGTGTATGTGTGTGTGTGTGTGTGTGTGTATGGATGCTGGAGCGGAGGCTCTGAGACCCAGGTGTTGGATAGGTGGCTGGAGGGCTCTGTGGCAGATGAACTTGGCCACTCTGTCTTTTCATGGGGTGCTTGGGGCCTCTGGGCCTGAGGGCCTTCCTAGTCCACCTCCCTGGCCCAGAGCTCTAGGTTAGCCTCCTCTGTCTCTCACCCCTTCCTCACTGGATCTTGCACTCACTGTCCTGTTTTCTCCGGCCAGGTTATCAACAACTACCTGGATGTCAACGAGCCTATGTCCGAGGCCCGCCAGAGCCGCATGCACTTCTATGACAACGAGAGGAAGGTCGACTACGTGCTGGCCTACCACTACCGGAAACGCGGGGCGCACCCGGGCCATGGCTCTCCTGGCCATGCGGTGGCTGTTGTCTCCAATGGGGAGACAGGCAAGGCTGGGGGCCCTGGTGACATTGAGCTGGGGCCGCTGGATGCCCTGGAGGAGGAGAAGAAGGAGCAGAGGGAGGAGTTTGAGCACAACTTGATGGAGGCCGGGCTGGAACTGGAGAAGGATTTGGAGGTGAGACTGGCAGGTGTCAAAAGGGTGGCAGGATGGCTCTGAAGGGTGGGGCTCCTGGTGACCTGTGTCACCTACAGGGAGTCTTGGCTTGCTGTGACTGCTGGCATTTTTCTTTTCTTGGTGGGCAAAGCAGATTTTCTTGCACAAGGACTTGAGGAAGAGTCTTGGTATAGCTGGTAGTTGTGCCTAGGGGATCCCAGGGTTGGGGTAGTACAGGGGTGCATGCCAGTCTGTTCTGTGAGAGTCAGCCCAGTTAGAGACTGAAGGTAAGACATTTCTTCCTGGGTCTTGCTTCCATGACTTTTATTGTGATGAAATGAAAGCCCTGGCTTACCTGTTGAACTGTGACTCAAAGTTTCTCTAAAGAGTTTACTTCACTGAAGAATGTTCTAGCCTGGGGCCCCTTGGGGGAGTGATTATTTGGGAACTGAAAATTGGGCATATTTTATCAACTTGTGAGCAATGTGTATATATTCTGTATATATTTTCACCTTTGGGAAACCCCAGCCTACTATAGCCAATACCCAGGGAAACACAGTTATCTACATATCCATCCATCCATCCATCCTGCCATCCATCTATCTATCCATCATCCATCCATCCATCCATCCATCCATCCATCCATCCATCCATCCATCCATCTATTCATCCTGCCATCCATCCATCTAGTTATTCACCCACTCATTCCCATATCCATCCATTTTTCCATGCCACAGTGATCCTTTAAAAATGATCTGCCCTCATCATACCTTCCAACCTCACCTTCCCCACCCTCACCCTCCTGCACCTGCTCCAACCTGCTGACCTTATCTTGGTTTTGGTCACCTTCACCTCAGGGCCTTCGAACTGATTGTCCCCTCTGCCTCAGATTCCCTTCCTCAGACCTGTGCATGCACACCCCTTCATTTAAGACCTCTGCTCAAATGTTACCCCTTTACTTTTCTTCATCATACTTAGCTCTACCACCTGAAATAATGGGATAGATGTGTGACCCCAAACTCCATGAAGGCAGGGATCTTTGGTTCACTGCTGTATCTTTAGCACCTAGGACCATACCTGGGAGCCTAAATGATAAAGTAGGTGCTTAACATGTGATAGTTGAATGAATAAATAATCGGATCTATACAATAATGGATACCCTTGATTGTGGTGTTATGTCTCCATTATTAGATGGGGCAATAAAAACATCTAACCCAGAGTCTGGCACACAGTAGTTGTTCAATGAGTGCTCGTTATGATTATTTTTAAAGTATCATGCTGGGGATGGGGTGCCAACCTTACTGGAAACTGTTTGGTAAGGGCCCCAGGGGTCATTAGTCCAGCTCTCTCTCCCCAGGCAGGAAGGCTTGTGGTCTGGCGCAGGTGCTTGTGTGTTGACCTGTGCTGCTCACCTTTGCTGACCCTGAAACCAGGAGCTTTTCCTTTCATTATTCCTACCAACTAGGAAGAGAGCTCTTTTTCTTTTTTTCAAGATTTATTTATTTATTTATACAAGCACTGGGTACAGTCAAAAGTGCAGGAGGCTGAGAGGATTCACCAGAACCAGAGCAGAGAGCAGAACAGGCAGACTGACGAAGTACACTGCTGAGGGGAGCAGCGGGCATGGCAGGAGAGGTCTGCGCACCATATGGGAGCCTCACCGGCAGCTGGGGATTGAACTGATGCTGCAGAGGCTGCGGGCAGCTTTGTAGCCCCGTGCTCAACCACTGCACCATGGGGGAGGCCCAGGGAGAGAGCTCTTTTAGGGCCATTTAGGTTTCCTCCTGACGGGAGTGCTAATTTTCAGTTTTGGGACTGCAGAGCTCTCTTGGTGGTCTCCAGCTCCTTCTGTTTCTTACATTTTTCTCTCAATGCTTTATTTTTCAGACCATTTGCTTTCTGCATGTGCAGCTAATCTGTTATTTCTAAGAGAGGAGCAGTTTTCAATCACTCCCCAATGATAACAGGTGCCCAGGTTGCCTCCAACTGTGTCACCCCAAACAGTATTGAGAATGAATTTTCATCCCCTCTAGGGCCAGTGTTCCATGATCTCTTCCTGTTCCTCCCCATGCCCTGTTGGTGCTGAACTCTTACTGGAGGTTGCTCAGTCGGGGCCTATGAATGTCTGCACAGCTCTTCTTGGGGTGCTTAGCCTCTCGCCTTGAGCAACAGCCTGTAACAGCAGTGGAATGTTACTTGACTGCACCTGGGGTGCTTTGGGGACCAGGTGCTGCAGTCCCACCTGCTCAGCTGTCCCTGTCATTCCAGGCTGAGCTGTCTTTGAGGGTCTGGTTTCTTTATGATTTTAAGATAAATGGAAAGGAAATGGGTTTCTATCAGAGATCCATTAAAAATTATTCACTCAGCCTTACATCAAAAGAACTTTGCTTCTACGAAACTCTAGTTGGTTGAATATTGTGGAATTCATTTCTGACCCTAGTTGATATCTGGGCAAGATGTCATCCTTTATTTATTTATTTATTTATTTATTTATTTATTTATTTATTTTTTAATTTTCTAGAGGCATGTCTTATTTATTTATTTATTATTTGTTTGTTTGTTTGGTTTATACATGCACTGGGTACAGTCAGAAGCACGGGAGGGTGAGAGAATTCACCAGAGCCAGAGCGGGGAGCAGAGCAGGCAGAAGGACCGAAGTACACTGCTGAGGGGTGCAGCGGGCGGCAGGAGAGGTCTGCTCGCCATGTGGGACCCTCCTCCGGTGGCCGGGGAGCAGCCGGGGATCGAACCGGCTGCAGAGGCTGCAGGCAGCTTCTCAACCCAGCGCTCAACCGCTGCGCCACCGGGGAGGCCCAAGATGTCATCCTTTAGACAGGGTGATAATTGGTATGCAGCTTTCATTGGGTGTTTTGCCTTTTCAGTTGCGTGCTTTGATATTATGTCCATTTATGTCCATATTGATGACATTTGACTATGACATCATATCATATCCAAATATATCCGTATTAATAATTTAAACAATAGTCTGTATTTAATTAAATGAATAAACCAGTTTACCTATATGTTTCTTTACATTTGGCCATTTGATTAGAATTTTGTTCAAAGAGATTGCTGGAGATGCCAGTGGGTGACAGGTACCTTCATCCTTGTTGCCAGTTGGGATAAATGAGAGCCGCTATCCCTGCCAAATGGGGGTGCTAATACAAGTAGCACTTCTAGATGGGGCTATAGGTGGCTGATACCTCCTCCCACCCTCTCCCAAACCATCTGACCTGACTCAGAAAGACAGAGGCAGAGACTTACCTGAGGTCTGGGGGAGAGCCCTGGACCCAGATGCAGGGTGAGGCTCTTGGTGGTTCTGGGGCCTTGCAGGCCCTGCCTTCCAGCAGGTGTGGTCCCAGAGCATCTCTGTGGGTAGCTAGAATTTCTAAACAGGGCATGGAGAGGAGAAATGGACAGGGAAGCCAGGTATGCCTTGCTTGGGGCTGTCCTTCCTGGGACTAGGGCACCTGGGAACCCATAGCAGAGTCTGCCTTTGTTCCACAGGGTCTGGCACTCAGCAGGCCGGTGGCTGCTTCTGGCAGAGTCAGGAATGGAGTGGGTGTAGCAGCTTTGCCAGGGCTACAACTTCATTCAGAAGGCAGAGGGCTCCTGAGTGCCTCTGTGTGCCTCTTGACATGGGATCTTGCATTCGCCGGGATTCCTTCATTCAGTCTTCATGAATATCCTGCATGGCTGGCGTTAACCCACCTTTTTAAGGAGAGGAGGAGGGAGGTTCAGAGAGGCTAGTGGCTCAGCCATGTGGTGTCGACTAGGTGGTCAAGCTGGGATTTGAACACTTTCTGAGCGTCAAACCTTCTGGGGTCTTGTCATCCCAGGAAAAGCTGCCACACCCTTGATAGCAGAGCCCTATTCTTCCCTCCCCAGAATTCATGGAATTCTCTGAAACAACCAGAAGCTCTTCATTCAAAGGGGGCTGCTTCAAGGGGCACCTTGTCTTCTCCTATAGGAATATATGGGTGTCAGAACAATGACCACTTAATCTGGATTTGCTCCCCTGGAAGCTGCTCTGGTCCCCCTACAGCACCTTCCCAGCTTAGAGTGGCCACTTCCTGGACATGGCATCAGACCATCTTCTCTCTGCCCCCATAGAGCTTGTGCTGAACCAGTTTCTCTCTTAGAACACTTTAATCCTGCATTGGTAGGAAAACTGATTTAAGAAATCCCCTAACCCTTAGGAAAATCTTGCTGCTTGGTTTCTAGGGTGACACTGTGTCCCCAGAGGTCTTCCTGTCCACTGCTGGCCTCAGGCATCCAGGGGGTATTGGGTGCTGGAGGGAGAGGAGTGGTGTATGTGTTTGGACAGGGGATCTCAGACCCCTGGGAACTCCATTATAAAATGGGGTGGGGTGGGGGCTGTGGACATAAGCTCTAGCAAAGGCAGGGACAATAAGGACCTTGGGTTTTAACGTTGCCCAATTGCATGGCTTCTTGACGGTGGCGGTGAGCTCTCTTGAGTGTGGCAGCAGTCACGGCTGTTGACTCATGCTAATGATGGGGAAAGGTGGTGATTTCCCCCTGGCTTTGGATGTGTTCCTCTCCCAACTGCCCCACCCAAAGCAGCAGTGTGCTGGAGCCTTGGGCTTCTCACCTTGGGATTTCTTACCCCAAGGGATCTTTTGGGAACACAACAAAGACAGCCCAGCTGCCACCACCCCTGGCGCTGCACAGCTGAGCAGAGTAGGGCACAGCAGGCTGGTTGCCCTTGACCTCCCCAGGGAGGCCTGGAGGCAGCTGGAGGGTGGGGTTCCTGAAGGAAGCAAGGAGGCCAGGTCAAGCCCCCCCAAGACTAGGCAAGTACTGACCGATTTCCTTTCTCAAAGAGTTTATAATTAAAAACTTAATATCCAGTATTCTCCCTTGAGGCTCAGGGCATCCTGGCTGCGGTGGTAAGAGCGGCTTTGCACCCCTCCTAGGAGACACTGAGCACCTGCCAGCTGTCGAGGAGTAAGGCTGTGCCTGGAACTCGGTCTCTGAACTGCTCCCCCTGTTCTTTCAAA